GAAGAGAAGTCAAATGACAAGGTATTTTACAGCATTAACTGTACAACCGAAGATTTTAAGCAGTGGGCTTATGCAAGTAAAAACCTATCAATATCACATAATGCTTAAATACCTTTAACCAAAAGAAGTCAACATTTTGTCATATACTCATGACATATGACCACAACCACTTAAAGTCACGTTCCTTAAAATTTCAACTTCTTTGGTAGTTGTAATTAGCATGCCTAAAGCATAGAAGTTGTTATTAGAATTCAACATTGTCCATAATCCGCATGTTCCTAAACAGCCATATAAGCATCATCACGATCAAAGAAAGTTGAGGCTTTTATGTCAGGTAAAAAGTCATTCCCTATTATCATGCACATTATATTATAGTTGATAGAATTATACTAGCATTAAGACACATTGTATCAAGAACATATTGCAGAATAAGTAGTCAGACTGCCATTTAAAAAACTTAAGCCACCACAGTCAGAACTCTACAGTTCATTTATGTTGCAACTTTCAAAGCTCTAGGTGATTAACAAGGATGTTTAACATAGATAAGATATTTTCTCTTTGCCTGCAGAGGCTGCACAATGAAAGTAGTATTGAATTTTCAAGACTTGAATGTGTATTGTACATTGAAAGCCAACTGCATCTCTCAAAAATACTATTGCTAATCTCTTTTACTATGGTTAGATCCTTTTAGGGTTTAGGGTTTAGATATAATAATACATGAACAAACCAGCAAACCAGGTTACAACATGAGACCTGAAACAACTTCTGTTATCAATTTATGAACATTTTTAAAATCTGGAAGATATAATCTCAGTACATAACTTGAGAAATTACAGATATTTTTGCTATCTTTACCATTATTTCACCTTTAGAGCAGCATGATGAGTCTATATCTGATATATGTTCGCCAACATGGTAAAATTGTACAACACCAAAATTGGAAATGTAGGAAGAAACTTACCCTGACTATTAAGACTTTGTTGACAACCAAAACAAGTGTTGGAAAAACTGAAGCTTGGATCATTTTGAGATGACGGAGAGACCTCATCAAACATTACTATAGGAAATAGATGATGATATGATCTTGCCAAATGGGGTGAAGAAATAAGGGTCAATCCACAGATACGACATTCAGTGGGAAGCTCACAGACACGAACTTTGCATCTTGGACAAGTGTATCCCCCTCCGGTCTTGGCCTCTTCATGACATGTACATATTGCGACAGAGCCCTCAGCTGATCGCTGTGGGAAACCCATCTTAATTAAATTAGCTGTAGCATACTCTGCTATTGCTGGAGGAGGTGGTGCATGCTCTAGGATTAACTCTTTAAAGTGGGACTGCACGAGATGTATATAAATATATGAATGTGTACATTCATGAATTTACAAACATTTAAAAAATGAAAATAAATTCCACACTGATCAGCAATATTATAAGTACTTGATTAAACTAAGGCTGCTTGACTATAAAAACTCAAATCACTTTTATAGAGGACACTTATTTGTGTTTGTACTACACTACATGGGTTCCACCAATTTCAACAAACTAACCTCATCTAGTGCAACAGAATAAGTCCCTCCGGTTTCCTGGCAGAGATGTTTGCATACAAACATTTCAGCAGCAAGACCAATGACTGAGCACCTTATTTTACTCTTTTTGCATTTCTGGATGGTTTCCATGAGATCACCAGGATCGCATGTACTTAGAGCTGAATATAAGACCAGAACTTCTCGATGACCATATGATGGGATTTGATTTAGATATCCAAGAACAAGCTCCAGTGCATTTTGTAAGGAGGCATCACCTGAGCATTCCAGTTTACCCATCAAAGCTTTAATGTGAGACTCAGGACTGCCACCAAGTTCTGTTAAACAATGAGCAATCCCATCTTTTATAGTCACCAGACCAACATGACTAAGTGGATTCTGATCAAAAAATTCCCTGATAAATGCCTCAACCTGTTTCCCAATCACAGCCATCCTACTAGGTCGAAAGTCTCTCTCTGAAGCTGCCTTCACATGATAACAGAAACTGGGTTATATTCAAGGAAAAGAGATTAAAAGGATATACATATAGGAGAAGAAATTCAACTTTCAAAATTTTCATTGACAGTGTTTCTATCATGATCACCAGATCCTCCAATTTTCTAGTAAATAAAAACCATTGCTCAATGTCATGTATCTCAGAACTCAGAAGTTACAATCAAGTAAATACCTTGGAGAGGTCAACGACAATGTACAGGTATCGTATAAGCCCCTTCTGAATCCGTGCAGTAGCTGCTTTGGAAGCAAGATTACGAAGGCGCCTGCGGTACTGAGCATGGTAAATGGCTGTATTATCTATGGGGCGAAGAAGTCCAGATTCATCCTCTTGCAAAGCCTCCCACGACCTATCTTCTGCATAAGTTCTCTCCCAGGCTTCAAGGTCTCCACCCTCATCCTCATCATCATCCTCCGCGTCTCCATTAACCGGTCTTTCAGCAGCATTACTCATAATTTCTAGACCAAAACGACGCAACAGTCAATAAACCAAGGGCAGCATAGTATTGATCAAAGAAATTCCGTATTTTTTTTTCATTCTATACAATTACACTCTATAAAGAGGGCATGAAAGAAACAACATAATACAGTGTAGGTTACAATCCGCTCCAACTCCGTGTTTCTGTTTAAAAAATAAGTAAATTGAAGATTGAAGCGTCCAAGTTTGATCGTAATAAATGAGAAGTAATTGCAAGGTGATTTATGCGAATCGAAGGTGTTATTATTGAAATCCGAAACTAGAAACGGCATTTACAATCATTGAAAAGGAAATGAATCTGAAGAGCTCGAGTAATCGAAAAATTTACCTCAAATAAACAACAGCAATGGTTTCGAACAAAAACTCCACTACAGTATCTTTACTCTACAAAATACAAATCCTCTCACTGCTCGCTCTCGCACTCTGACTCGTTATTCATTACAAACTCCACTATGCCTTTAGTTTTAAAACACCTGATTTGGGCTTCTTTAATTCTTTTGGGCTTTCTTTTATTTGAAATACAACATTTCCTAAATTTTTCTTATTTCTTTTTCCTTTTTATAATCACTGTCAAACTAAAATATTAGTAATACAGTACCAGCAAAAAAAAAATATCAGCTTGAATTTGAATGGCAATATTACGTAATGAATTTTATAAATTTAAATATTAATTAAAGTGAGAATTTTATAAAATTACGTTTTAAAGTGACCTGTACAATCTCAAGGACAAGAACCAATAAAGAACTTTTATCTGTTTTCCTTTGTAGGAGCTTCAATAAAACTCAAAATGTAATGGACTAAAATTGGATTAGAGTCATTTCTTGGGAAAAATGAAAAGATTACAGTTTCTTAAAATACTGATTTTGACGTAAAAATAATCCTCGTTTTATAATTTTATAATAACAACAATAGAAACATTCACATCAAAATAAACTTATTTTAATGTAAAAAAAAAATTGATAAAAATACTTTTTCATATCATTTTTAAATTTTGAAAAACTTACTTGGTATAAAAAATTTAAAAGATTAAATTAATGTAAAATAAATCTTTAAAAGAATTTTAAGAAAAAATCTTAAAATACTTGGGCTATGTTTAATAAAAAAACTGAAAAATCTTGGGGTCAGCTATCCCACTCTTTGAGGTGCCTCTAACGTAGCGAGGAGATTAGTCACTGCTGTCGGTGGTGGATACTCCAAGAACGAATAAAAAAAAAAAAAACTGAAATTAACTACAAATTCAAGAATTAACCTTTTACTAAGATTTTATTTGAAATCTGATAGGCTTATTAAATTAAAAATATTTATTGAAACTAACTGTCAAATTAGTTAATAAATGTAAAATAATATAAAAAAGTATGACATATTTTTCGTAAATTTTTAATTTGAAAAAAAAGTATTTTTTTTAAGTAATCCTAGTTGTATATATTTTTTTAATTATTTTCGAACTCTCATCCTTTTCCAAACTCTTAAATTTTGTTGGTTTAAAATTATCTCATTATATTCTTGAAAATACATGGATAGGGGATGTATTTTTTTTTCATATTTGTTACAAGATTAAAATTTTCATTTTCGAACATGGAACATTCCTAACAAAAATTACTTTTTACATTCCCATGATTTTATTGCAAAAAAAAAAAGAAAGAAAGCAAGTTGATTGCTATATCATGAGAATAACATTATGATTTATACTCTTTTTAACTTCCTCCACACCCCACTTTCACAAAAAAAAAAAAAAAAAATGGTAGGTT